CGCTCGATTGGCAAGAGCCATATTCGTCCTGTGCAACTGAACTGAACTGAACTGAATTGACCTGAATTTGAAATAGGGATATAAAGCGGACTTAGGTAATATTATCGGCGTGTTTTTGACGGCGTTTATCTAACTCTGCATGCTTTCAATGAACGAGAGCACCAACCAGTTGATGAATGATTCCGTTTGTTATACGTGGAAACAGAAGCTAAAAAGAGTGTGTCATTGGGGACCAATGATAGCACTAACAACAATATTTTACATTGCGTACATCAGTTTGAAAAGTTCAATGTGGATTTCCCCCATGTCACTGTCGATCTTGGGTTTCATACAATTCGTGTTCATTTCGATTTTACTCTACATGATATTAAACTCTTACTTTTGTGCATTATTTATTGGACCGGGTTTTGTACCACTCGGATGGAGACCGGTAAGTGCATGAAAACCGCTCATTTCTCACAATTGCCCTTTCACATGATCGTAGTTAAAGCAAAAGACAAATATCTAATAAATGCATATTGTCAGATAAGGTCCTAGTTCCATCTCACTTTTAGTCAATGATTGTTCCCACAGAGTACCAGTTTCTTGAGTTCCACAAAGATTTTGTTAGATAGAGCCGCAGGGCCATCAGTATGCAAGATTTTATGCTGCGCATACGCTTCAGGAAAATTCCTTTGAATAATTTTGCTTTGGGTGGTAAAAAGACCGAAAATGGTGAATTTTTTTCGCGACGAAGAAAATATGCTGCTCGATAATTATTACATTTGAATTGGCAATCAAATTTGTCTGTGTTCTTGCTGCAACGTTTTGAAGTTTTGAAGAGAAGAACAAGACTCAGGTGAACGCTGGTCATCGCATATACATGTATATGTATACATGTATGTATGTGTTAATGAAAGCTCAAGTTTTGCGCTTGTAAATTGGTATGTAGTCATTTATATGCGATTAGAAGGAAACGAGGATGAATTTTCGAAAACAGCTTAAGGGTAGGTCTCGAGTTTCTATTAGTAATGAGTAATAAGGTCTTTCAACGGTATCCACGGGGACATTCAGGGGCCTCTGGGGGATACTCAGAGGTCACTCAGCGGTATACTCCTGCTGCTTGGGTAGCTTAAATTCTTAAGGCTGGGAAACTGCGTGTGGAGCAAGTGGCTACCATTCTCTCTGCACGTACCATTTTTCTTTTGCAGATCGTCGTTTAACGGCACCATGGTCATCTCTTGCTCGCTTTCATCTTCCACACGCTTGCTCACGCTTTCTAAGTTTCTCCTTTGTTTCTGTTTACTAACAGTATAATCGTCGTCACGTTTCTTGACGTATCTCGTTCTGTTTCTATACGAACTCTCGTTTTTGTCATGGCCGTATTACAAGATTTTCGATAGAACAGCACCTACGGCTTACTGAACTTAAACAATTGGATCTGATATAAACAAAGCGTTGTCACCGGAAAATACGTTTTATACATCATGACAGCAAACCGACAGCAGTGGCAATCTTACAGTCACCTTTTATCCGACCAGAGTGCTTGAAACGGTATGTATGCACAGTTATAATGTGTACTTTGTGTGGTGACTTTAGAGGTTCGCTTTCTTTCCCCATTCCTAAAAATAGACCCAATCCCTATCATCCTTACACACTCTCACTTACCTTGTATGCAGTATGAGTTTGGCAATGATCCGTGAAGTTCGCTTCGCTGTACTACGCTGTTTGATGATGATAAAGTTTGTTGTTGTTTGGCGAAAGCAAACATAATTACATCAATTATCATCCAGGGGCAGACCAAACAAATCGAAGGAAGTTGATCGCATTAGGTCAGAACCAATTAAAGCGAGGTATCGATGATGCATCTTAGGAAGTTCCAATGCTCATTAACGGCGTTGCAGGAATCCTAAGTCTTCTGCTCTGCTTGCCGGGGCAAATTATTTACCGTTCTAACAGAGTCTCAGTTATATGACTTTGGACAAAACGAGCGTTCTTGCAAAATCAGAATAAATAACGTCCTAAAACGTCTCGACAGATATTTCGGGTAAACCCGCAGAGTCAAAAGAGAGGATACGAAAGCTTGAGTAGGCGTGCGAAAAGTAAAATTCAACACCCGGGCACCAAAGTGGTGGCCTTGGTGCGGTAAAAGTATGCTGTAAAAGATGCATCGTACACACAGAGAGGAGGTAATTGATGTCACTTCAATAGCAGATTCGTTACAGTTAAATACACTCACGTTATACTGGTAACACTACCATTATACCTGATACAATAAACACAGCTTTCCACATTCCAATCTCTCGACTGCTTTATCCAATTAAGCATCAAAAAGACAGTGACCAGTACTACCGCTCTAAATCGCATGTTTAATGGTTGTAAAAACTAAACTGAATGCAGGTGGGCACACGCACTGCAAATTTGTGGAGATAAAGAATCTGGTGAAAAATCAGTAAGAACAAGGGAAAATTAAAACATTGTTTTATTTCACTTGAACTGTGGACGGCCATTCCTGTAGCTGTCAGTGTCTAAGTTAAATGGAAGTCAACAGAGTTTAGTTTAACGATTTCTACGGAAAATCTTATAACCGCCATGAATTAAAAAAGGTCTGACATTGACCTCCGCCCTACATTTAACTCATTCAGTAGAGTCACCCGGTTCTATACCATGCCTGACCCAGCGGGGCCTTACGACGTTCGCCACTCCAAGTCCCGGGCTTAGGGTAACGGTTACCATCACTGAACAACAGGTATTTGTGACTATGGGGTCCGCCTCGTCTGCTGTTCATCACACTGGTGTGTACTAAAGAATATAAAGTACCAATGAGATACCTGGGAAGTATATAAGGTAGATAAGCTCATAACTATGCAACGACAGAACCCGTCCGCGCCTACGATAAATAATCCACTCATTTTCCACCTACTTTCGGTGTCCATCGAGATCCCACTACTATCAGTTCTTTTTAACGGCGCTATGGCCTGGAATGCGTCTTTTCCTCTGACAATCAGTCTTAAAACTTGAATCGTTCAACCCGAATTAACCGACGACACTTTCATTTATTAGTGGGTCTGGCAGTTTGCAATCGTTGCTTGACCCTATCGAATATGAATCCAAGACCGACTGTCTAGAAGTAAATATATCAAACAAATTTATTCAAGCGTCTCAAACAAAGACGTGTGTTAATACAGTCAACTGAAATGTAAACGCCTTAGCTCTTCTGTCTTTCGTTTCAAAGTGATTGGTACAACACCTGAATCGCGCGGCGCACCAACCTCGTCAGATAGCGGTATGTAGACGGCTGACACCAGAGACATCCGAGAATCCTAAATATTTGAATATGGGAGGTAGTCCTATAAAAGTGAACGAGTGAAGGGTATAGCACGGTGTGTAAATTTTATGAATAGATGTAGTTCGTATATTCACTGGGTACTCAGAATGGATAAAATAATATTGGGGTGTTCCACCTGGTGCACGTAATCACCTTAATCCTAATCCACCGGGCTGCAGAACAACATCAGGAGACAGAGCCCCTTAATCAACTGTGTTGGAGATATTCCGAATACCTTCTGCGACTTGAAATTTCCGGTCCCGAGCCTAAAAAAGCTTGGTTTGTAAGGAAGAGGTCAGTAAATGCAGCTTTTAAAGACTGGTGATAACCACATCACCACCCAGAGAAGCGGGAATCCGAAAGTATCTCCAAAACCTCAAACGCCATAGGACGTCTAGGTCAAATAAACTGCCACTGGCTTTTTCAAAGATGGTGGAGAGGTTCTCGTAGGAAAGTGTGTTTTCCAAAACCTGGAATGTGGAAGTTGTACATCCGATGTGTACATAATCGATTGTTACACCGATTTTCAAGAAGAGCTGTCAAAGCACAGAGGTTTAGTTCTAAGTCTAATATGGCCCAAACTGTTGGTGTTCGTTTTATTTCGTCGATTGAGTTAGATTCATGGAAGACATCCGCGAAGAGCAGGCCCGGTTTCGTCCACTTGGAGCCTGCGTAGATCAAATCCGTAGCCTTCGTCAGCTGCCGGAACACCGCTGTACGTAGACCACAAACGATTGTCGTGTTTTTGGACATTAAATCCATCAATCGGAGTGCTATGTGGAATTGTTTTCTGAGTTACGGAGAACCCTGGAAGAATGTTCTAATCGTGAAACCGATTTATCGTTATACCTCGGGGAAGTTTATTGCCTGTCTTGCATTTTCACTCTCGTTTCCTATCAGGGGTTGCCCTGACTCTCCGTTTCTCGTCAATTTTTACATGGATGTTTACATACCGAAGCGTTACTTAATGTAACGAACTCGGGTGTCGAGCGTCAACCTGGATACACAGTCACAGAGTATGCCAAAGCATTGCCTTACTCGGTAACTTACCTCTTCTCCACGTCTTCTTCTGGCCTCCGCTTGGCTTTCTTCAGTCTGCAACAGCCAGTACAAATGAGGCGCGCTGCGGTAAGCGACCGTCGGACATACGCAATACGTGTCCTAACCATCAGGGCCTATTGAGCTGGATTCAATGAGACAGCGAGTTCTTGTTCAATGCATTTATAAACACCCGACGACTTACCTCTAGGTTACTAACCCTCTCACTCCATCCCACTTAGGCTAGGCTATGTAAGCATTGATTTTCTAATATCACTAGGCGACGGATGTCTTCTACCCGCAAATTCAAGATTTCACATCCGTAAAGCAGAACTGATCGTACAGTGGCCCAATAAACGCCACTTTTCAACTTCAATGAAACGCCAAATCACCGCCACAGGTGTGTGAGTCCTGCGTACGCTGCTCGAGCCTTGGAACTGTCGGCGGTTATCTCCTTTGATGCGCTACGGTCGTTGGTCACGCAGCTACTTAAGTACGAGAAGCAGTAAACTTCAGCTAATTCCTGACCGTCTAGTTTCAAAACAGAACTCGGCGACACCCAGTCTTGTAGCACCACTTTGCACTTTGAAGGTGCAAAACACATGCCGAACGGAGCGACTGAACTTGCTAATCTGTCAAGTGCTCTTTGTGCATCATCTATAGGTTCGAACAGGCAAAAGATGTCGTCAGCGTACTCTAGATCGCACAGCTTTTCTCTAACAGCCCATTCAAT